GCAGAGCTGGGGCCCCCTCCTCAGTGATCATTACTCCCCTTTCCCCAGAGCCACAGGCACAGCCACAGGAGAGAGCCAGTGTCACCTTCCAAGAACTTGTCATCAAGCTGTCCCTGGAAGGCAGCAAGGCCTTCTTCCAGCTCCTGCGTGAGCAGAGCTCCAGGGAGAAGGGGCTGTTCCCTGGGGCTAGAAGCATGCTGTGGTGTCAGACTCTTGACTGGACTCACTGATGGCCTGGGGCTGGACAGGGGATGTGAGCGCTCTCTCTGGGACACCCTCAGCTCTTCCTTCCATTCACAGAATCCAGCAGGATTCTGTCCTGCCCCATGGATGGCAAGAGTCAAGGCTGACAGTGCCTGGTGTGATGTGGAGGAACCTCTATCCTGGAGCCAAAAAAAGGGTCCGGGGGCCTGAGTTGCTTCCCTTGATCCCCTGCCCTCCCAGTCTTCAGGGCAAGGCACATGCCCTTCACGTGGAGCTCCAGCTGCAGCCGGCCATGGTCAGAGGGCCCAGTGCTGCCTCCTAGCCCTTTAAGAAGCCAAAGGAGCAAGAGGTGGGGTGGGGTGATGAGAGGGGCAAGAAGTAAGAATACCCTGGCCCCTGGCTCAGCAATACATTTAATGGCGCCTTTCTAGTTTCCCCTAGTACCACCCTGCCTGAGAGAGAGAACAGGGGAGCACTCTGCCACCATCTAAAGGTTTGCAGGAAGCGAGCTTTGACTGACATTGAGCAAATCCCTAGCCCCCCAAGCCTCGGTATCAGCACCCTAAAACAGGGACATAGAACCACCCCTTCAGCTCCTGGGAGGGCACAGTGGGCAGGACATTGCATGACACATGCTGTGTGTTCATTCACAACTGTTCCCAGGCCCACCTCCACCTCGCGGCCTCCCTCATCCATCCAGGCTGGGCTGTGCCCACATTGGTCCTGTGAGCAGAGATTAGGGGTGTGGCCAGGGCACCGTAAGAGGATGTCAGCTGAGACCCTTTGAGGTCACTAGTGCACTCTGCACAGACTGACCCAAGAGGCTGTCAGTTGCCCCCATTACGGATCCAAGTCTGCGCCCAGTATCTAGGAGGGGAAGCACCACCCCCTGGGCTGTGGTCAGGATCAGCCAGTCAGCCCTGCCCAGTGCATCTCAGGGTGCCCTCCATGGACAGTGAGGAGGTCCCCTGTGGCAGGGTGGCTCCCAGCTCTGCTGACTTTTCTCAGCAACTGGTAGGCTGGACATGATCCCTCCCCCACCCCAATCATCAGTCTCCACGGAGAATCAGAGGAATCAGAAGAGGTACCACCTGGATGCTGGAATGATGGCAGCACAGGAAGCCTGAGTCCTGTGACCACCACCAGCCTCTGGGCACCTGCATCCAACCTCTAGGAGTGGCCCCTTTGCAGGCAATTGCACCTGGAAACACCTTCGCTGCTCTGCATGCCAGGATGGTTTGGAGGGTGACAGAAGCGCCGGGACAGGCCTTGGGCACTGGCTAGTGTCTCAGGATGCTAGTGGCTGCCCTGCCACCATGCCATTGAGCAATAAGGAGCATTATCAGCTCCACAGAGGAGTTGGGAATGGAACCGAGGCAATCTCTCCAGGACCACAGCCCTGCTCCTCTCCTTCCTTCTTTGAGGGCCAGTCGGTGCCTGATCCATAGCCCAGCATCTGAGGGACACACCAGACACCCACACTGTTCTGAGCGTGCAGGCAAACTGCAGAATGGGGGTCCAGGAGGAAGGAGAGACACGCAAAGCACTTAGCAGCAGCAAAGCAGAGACCCTTCTAAGCAGTGACACTAAGAGCATGCCCCGCAGAAGAACACAGCAGTCTCTCTGGGGCCCAGTAATCATGGAAGTCATTGGCAGTGAAACAAAGCAAACCCATAACCCACAGGGTGAGTTTCTGACAACTGCTGGGAGGAGGCTCCTAGCAATCCCTCCTCCTCTAGCTCCGTCAGGGGCACGTGGGTCACAGCTGCTGGCCATAGTGATAGAGGACTGAGCCATCCTGAAACTCATCTAGAGAGGTGTCCTTTTAGTCTTTCCTAAAGAAACTGTCCCTGGAAACAGAGGCCTGGGATGTTTCTTCTGCCTCAGCAACAAGGAGGCCAACCAATCTGTTCCTAGGGTCCAGCCAAGCTGGTCTTGCTTCCCGTCCCTCATAATCTGGGTTCCCCTTTGGTTATGTCCTGTCCATGTTGTCCTTATGGATAGCAGAACCCTGGGACACCTGGGGCCAGCCCAGGAGGGCACTCACGTGTCCAAGGCGAAGTAGAAGTCATTTGCGCAGATAAAAGTCTCTTTTTTCTGCACCTGCCAGGCACCCAGGCTGCGGTGGTGGCGGAAGTTCCCCCGGTCCTGGATGAGGTGGCGGTGGAGGCTTTCCCAGCTCAGGCTTAGGTGCTGGAAGTCTCTAGATCCCGGGACACTCTGCAGGAAGCTCTTCTTGCTCACCAGAGAAGGTGGCAGCACCAGAAGCAGGAAGAGTGTAGGACCTGGCATCCCAGAGCCACCAGCCCCCATTTTATTGGCAACCTCTATGGCCTCACAGGATGCCAGGCCACCTCAGGTCACCACAGGTTGCCACCTCTACCTGTGCTGAGGGGCCTTGGTCCCTCAGCCCTTTCACCATGTCACCCTGTGAGACTCCACTGGTACCTGTCCTTTGGGCAGAAGAGGCCAGAGCCTCACTCTAAGGCAAGGGCCCCCACCACCTGCTGAGCCCTTCCCCCACCCTGTGGAGGCAGAATGCCCTGTTATGATGGCCATAAAGGTTGGCATGGTGACTGTGACTTGCAGCTCTGCTCAGTGACCTATCTATTGACAACCCAGGTGGGAGTCTGGTATCTTAGGAGGGACAGTAAAAGGAGGCCTTCGTTTGTGCCTTAACTCAACACCCCCCCCAGGTGGTCATTAGGGTTCTTGAGAACTGCCTTTCTGTAAAATGAGGGCAGCCAAGGTGACTTAGATAAGCTCATCACTGTGGGTGAGGAGCTGAAGGAATTGGGAGGCCAGAGTGTTGTAATGGTCACACCTGTGAACATTGCGGACACCAGGGGAAGGAAGGGTCCAGATAGGGAAGAAGGTCATGCAAGGATACCAAGTCCTTTGTGCGTGATGGATCGTCCAGTTGTCTACTCTTGTGCAACAAACCACCCCAATCTCAATGACATAAAGAAGAATGAGAAATTCAGATAAGGCTGAGTGGGATGGCTTGTCTCTGCCCCGTGGGAAGCATGGGCATAGAAACTGATTCAAAAGTGACTCAAAAACTCAGGTTGGGATTGTAAAATGTTTTAAGAAATATCTTAACGAGTTTTTTTTTTAATTTCCTTTTTATGTAAGCCCAAAAAAGAGTGATAATATGGTAAAAAAAAAACCTCTCCAATAAGTGTAAAATAAGTCCTTCAATAAAATTAAAATTACAAGTGATAAAGGCATTGTGTTGCAGCTGTTGTCACTGCTCTTTGGAGTAGTTTTCAAGGAAATGAGATATCTTAAATGATATTTTAGAATCAAGGAAATTTGATTCATTGTTTCAATAATATAGACGGGTTTCTTTGTTTTACAACCTTCATGACACTTGGTATTGTCACATTTTCATATATTTACCTATTGACTAGACTTTTGGGCTTAATTTGTATTCCCCTAATTACTGATGAAATAGGTCTTCTGTTCAATCATTTGCATGTCAGCTTTGATGGGTTTTAAGTTCCATAGATGCGGGTCTGGTTCTGTGCTCTCTGTTCCATTCCCTTCATCTGCCCTTTGGTTTAGAGTTAGTGTCAATCCCACAGCATCTTAATTGTTATCGTGTGGGCCATTGTACTGGTGCTCCTCACTGTGACGTCCTCTTTCGGGAGGGTTGTGCTTCCCTGCCACATGCATGGCAGGCCTGGACCTGACTCCACCAGTGAAATGGTAATAGAAGTCCCATGTGCCACTCCTGGGTGGCATCTTTAAGGGTGTAGTTATGATTCAGGTGGACCCAGCCTCCTGGCACCTGAGCAACATGATGTGCAGCACCTTTTTGGGAACTTGGGTGAATGGTGCATGTGGGGCAGTGAGACATGTGAGTGGACAATAAAGTTTCTGCTTTGAAGCTGATCTTATTTGGGGGCTTTTGTTACCGAAGATAACCCAGCAGATTCTGATACACATAGTATCAGTGTCCTACCCAAGAAACACAGACTTCTACAACAAGGATTGTTAGGAAGGGTAAACCATCCACCTCACTGTCTTATGACAATTGGCGGATATTGGTTTTTTCATGTGCACTTGAGAATCAGCTCATGAAGTCACCACTCCCTCCAAACCCTCTTGATATTTTATTACAATAACATTATATATGCTGAAACATGTGCAGAGATTTTGTAGCTGCAATCTGGACTCCTCTTATCAGTGAATGTGGCCATGTCCCCATTTATTTAGGTATTTTTTAATGCTTTCCATATGAATTTCCCTCTAAAGGTCTTGACTTGTGTTAAATACCCAATATTTCTGTTGCTATAGTAAAAGACATCTCACCAACAATCTTTTAATCTTTTCCTTGTTGTTATGAAAAATGTATTTAATTATTGATACTTCACCCAAATTACTAAACTCTTTTGTTCTAATGTGTTATCTACAGAGTTTTTTTGTTTATTGAAAAATTAAAATCAAAAAAGAAAAAACATTGTGCTGACTAGTTATTCTCTAATGAAATGTTGACTGAAGCTATGATGGGTGCATTCCTGATTTTAAAGAGAATACTTCTAACACATCAACATTAAGATAGAGACTTATTGCTAGGATGTCAAAGGAATGGTAGTGTGAGAAGTCCCCTAGGTTTCAACCTTGATAGTTTAACAATTTGAACAGCTATATTTCAACAAAGATTCACTGCTCATGCACAAACATGTCTGAAGGTAGTCATGTGGGTGTTAACCGGGGATGTGAGTAAGGAGAAGAGCTGAAATGGGCCAGAGACTCAGCCCAGAGCTTGCAGCCTGGAGCTCCCTGTGGGACTAGGCCAGAGAGAGGAGGTCTCCGGCTGTTGCTGACATGTCCTTCAGCTGGGAGGAGCAAACACAGTGAACATTCCTATAGGAGTGGCCCTCAGAGCTGAGGGTGAGCTCAGTGACCTGGGAAGGGATGAAGCACAGAGGTGTGGCCACAGTTGTCTGGCGAAGGGCTTTTCAGACAGAGAAACAAAGCCACAGAACCTGGCTGATCTTCTTCATGTTCCCAGAGCTCGCCTCCTCTCACCCTCCCAGAGCTGGCAGCAGGCCCAAGAAGAAGATGAATAAGTGAGTGTCTGGTTGCACAGCACATTATCTGAAAACCAGAGAACTTGTACTACATGAGCAGTTTTTTCTCTTAGCAACAGGTGCACTCTGCAACTCACCCCAGGGTTGGGAGGAGATACAGGAGGCTGCTGAGGTCTCAGTCACCATTATGGGAGAGCAAAGTCACAAAGGCAGCAGTCAGCTTTCCCAGCTCACCCCAACCCCACCGATCGCAGCTGCACTGCTGGCAGCGTTTGGTTGCAGGTGACAGCACTGGGATTTCATGGATTTGGAACCCCATCACCCACCACATTCCCCTATGTGGTTGGTCCCCAGAAACACAAGAACCTGAAAACAGTGGAGGTGTCCAACTCCCCAGGGAACACAGGCCATTGTTTTTTCCACTACCCTGCAGAGATCTAAAAGCCAGGGCAGTGCAAGACAACTAAATCTTGAGATTCAGCGCCACCTGCTAGGGAACATTAGAAAGGCTTTTTTATCAATCTACTAGAGAAGTTCCACTCATACATAGATGTCTAGACAGAGAAGGAACCCATCAGATACCATGAAAAACCAAGGCAATGAGGCAGCTCAGAAAGAAAAAAAATCTTCAGAAAATAAACTTAGAGACATGGAGATATGTGATTAAAGTGACAGAAAATTCAAGATTGCAGTTCTGAAAAAACTCAATGAGATGGAGGAAAAAACAGTAAGTTAAATGAACTCAGTTTAATTAAAATCATTGAACAAAACTATTACTTTATAAACCTGATTATAACTAACAAAAACCCCAAATGTATATACTGGAGATGAATCCTATATAATAAAGAGGTAATATACAAACTAACCCTCACTCCATCACACCATCACAAGATAGCTGCATCCACAGTGGAAGTGGGGTTCCCATAATAAGCCGTAATGAGCGATCAGCTGTGTGGCACCTCAGTCGGTGCCCCCACCCTGGTGCCGGGCTGGGGTACCTCAGACTGCATCCCCCGCCGGGCAGCGCTTGACAGGGGACCTGAGGCCATGCACCACACCTGGTGGGGCTTGAAGGGGGACCTCAGGCCACGCACCCTGCCAGGGGGGGCTTGCAGGGGGACCTAAGGCTGCATCCTCCACCCATTACCGAGCCGGGGTCCTGAGGGTGCACTAGGGGACCGGAAGCTGCGCCCCCCTCCCTGCCTGGCAGGGCTTGACAGGGGCCCTGAGGCTGTGCCCCTTACCGAGTGGGGCTTGACGGGGGACTTGAGGCTGTGCCCCTTGCCCAGTGCCAGGTCAGGGGACCTGAGGCTGCACCCCCCACCTAGCGGGGCAGGACGGGGGTGGGGCAAGTTGAGTCTGGATCTCGCCCAATAGTGGTGGGGCTGGCCAGGTCTGGTTCTCACACGATTTCGAGGTTCACAAGGACTTGACTCTGGGTCCTGTGGCATGCCCCAGACTCTGACAGGAGGAAGATTTTCATATACATTTTACTAATTTTCTGAAGATTTTCATATACATTTTACTAATTTTCTTTCATCTCTGACACTTCTATTATAGAGAAAGGGCAAATAGCAATATTAAAATATTTTCTCTAATTAATTCCCTTTTAATATGCACAAATTTTGTGCACTGGACCACTAGTAACTCAATAAAGGAATATAGAATGAACTAGAGAACATAGGAAATAAAACAGACCAGATGGAGGAAAGAATTAGTGATATGAAAGATAAAAATTTAGAAATGACACAGGAGAAAGAAGAGAGAGACTTGAGCATAAAAAAGAAAAAACTATACAAGAACTATCTACTCTAACAGAAAAAGCAATATTAGAATAATAGGAATACTATAAGAAGAAGAGAGGGAGAAGAGAAGAGAGAGCCTATTTCAATAAATAGTTGATGAGAACTTTTCAAAGCTATGGAAAGAGCTAGATCCTCAAATCCAAGAAGCAAACAGAACACCAAATTATCTCAATCCAAAAAGGCCTTCTCTAAGACACATTGTGCTAAAACTGTCAAAAATTAATGACAAAGAAATAATACTCATGGCATCCAAGGAAAAGAATGTAACCCATAAAGGAAAGCCCATTACATTAGATTATCATTAGATTTCTCAGCAGAAACTTTATAAGCTAGATAAGAGTGGAACCCAATATTCAAACTACTGAAAGAAATTTCCAGCCAAGAATAGATATGAAGGAGAAATAAAGACTTCTGTAGCCTTGCACCCTGAAGGAATTTACCACCAGAAAACCTCCATTGCAGGAAGTACTCAAGGGGGTTATTCTACCTAAAATAAAGAACAAAAAGTCACAAAACTACAAGTGGGACCATGAACACACAACATAAATAACTTGTAACAACGTAAACATAAAAGGGAAGGGATAATGATTTAAATTTGTACAGGGTCAAGGAGATTAGCTGCATTAAAAAAGGACTACTTTATATATGAAACTTTTTTTACATAAACCTAATGGTAATCACACACACACACACACACACACACACACACACACACACACACACGATAAAGTGCTATAGAAACTCCTTGCCCAGCTTTGTCAGGAAAGTGAACATCATTGATTTCTCTCATACCATGAGAGATGTTAGGGGTATAGGAGGGAAAATATTTCTGAAGAAGCAGTAGTTGCCAAGACACTTTCCAATGGTTTCTTGGAGGTTACATGGGTGTGGGCTCCAAATGCGGCCCTCATATGGTCAGCACCCACCTTCCTGTGAATGCTTACGTGTGCCAACACCCTGGTGTGCAGAGGTAAACAGCCAGGCATAGCCCGGGATTTTCAAAATCCTTCTTCATGTTTCTGAGCTCATATCAGGGAGGGAAGACGGGCAGGGAGGGAAGACTTTAGCTACTGGCACCTGAGTTTTTACTAGGGGTCTTGGCCCTGTGCTGAGCAAATTGTAGCACTTACCACCAGCCTCATGGCCACAGGAGACACCATTATCTCCAACTTTTCAATTAGGAAAATAAAGCACGGATAGATTAAGTAACTTGCCTAAGTGATTTAGTAAAAGCCAGTGAATATAGACACAGGATTATATTTATATTTTAAAGATGATTTAGGATTTTTTTCAAAGACCTGAATATGACTGAAACCCCAGGTATGACTGTCCATGGTGAGTGAAGACCAGGCTGTGGCTGTGGGAATCATCCATGTCTACATTCACAGGACACCAGGGTGCTTTATCCTGCAGGAGTAGTATTGGTAGGTATGTCTCACACAGAGGGCAATGCTCACCTGCTAATAATCTTTCATGCTAATCAGCAACAAATCCAACTCCTTTTGACTTTAAACCAAGTCTCAATGTTCAGCACGGGACTCAATATATGTCCAGTTCAGTACACAAAGGGCTCTTAATATTCTGGGCTGTTTAATGTTTTAGAGGTTGCCTATGGGGTGGGAGTGACAAGGTAGTTCTGCAGAGCGCACGGGCAGTGGGAGGGATCAGCGGCAGCATCCTGGAGGGAAGTTGGGAACCCATATGAGAGTGGTGTTGACACCATGAGCAGCAGCTGTTGAGGGTGTACATTCTTGAGGGAAGTTGGGAGCATATTTGAGGGTGGTGTTGACACCATGAGCAGCAGCTGTTGAGGAAGAAGTAGTCCTGGTTGGGTCCAAGGCAGGCCATTGGGCCATAGGGCATTTGTGTACAGTGGGGATTCACTAGAGTGACGTCCATGCACCTGCCCTGTAGGGAAGAGAGATAATGTCCCTGAGAAGTCATTGGAATGGGCACCAGAGCCTGTGGTCTTCTTGGCTCAAGGGGGTGGGAGTCAGGAGGCATGAGGACCACAGGGTGAACCTTTGTGATGCCCTTCCTCTCCATGGGCGCTGGGATCCAGCCAGGGCTCCTCCTTGGGGCCTTGGTTCAGGCATCAAAACTCTGTCCTGCTTTCTCATGGCAGCACTAGTGTTGTGATTTGCAATCCCTTTGCTGGAACTTGTCTGCTGCTCCTGGACCGAGAGCCTGGGAAGCAAGGATGAGGGAGGCCCTACAGCCCCCGCCACCCAGCATTGCTATTCTCTCTAAATGAGTGTGTGCTGAAGGGATGAGCAATCTCCAAGTCCTTAGATTGGACACAGGCCCATAGGACAATGGCAGTAGGGACACCGTCTGATGGGTGACAGGCTGTGGAGGCTGCAGCACCCAAGGCCTCGTAGAAAGGGATAAGAATGATACAGCCCAGAGCTTCCAAATGCCCAGCTGCCCATCCATTGATAGTCAGGGTTCACTGGATGTGGCCATTCAGCCCTCACTGCAGACCCTGGGGACAAGAGCATCCTCCAGGCTCCCTGGGCCATCTGAGCAAAGGGTTTGAGCACCTCAAAGCCCAGGCAGGTGATTGCCTGGTGAGGCAGGAGCACCACTCTCCTTGGGCCCCAGGCCTGAGTAGGGGAGCCTTCTGGTGGTTTAGGGGTAACCTCCTGAGATCAGAAGTGCTGACTCAAAAGGGGGCAGAGAAGGGAGAAGGGTGGAGCCAGGCCTCGGGTTTGAGTCCAGCTCTGCCACTCCCGGCCTTTGTGAGCTGGGACAAGTCACTCAGCCTCTCTGTGCATCAGTCCCCTTGGTAAACTGAACAAAAATATTAATACCTACTTTTGCTGGCAAAAGTAACGTAGAAAAACATGTAAAGTTCTTAGGCTCCCAGCTGTCCCATGTGAAAGATCCAACAAAAATTTACCATCATTATGTTTATTCTAAGGAGGAAAATTATCACAATTTGGCTTCTCTTCATGTCAATGATCCAAAGAGGAAATATTTCCTGTCCTGTAAAACCAGTCAGTGTTGGTCAAACAACATTGGGAGGGTGACACCATGCTCTCCACCACTCCTTGCCCTGAGTGACCAGCTCAGGAGACATTCAGTGGATGGGGTGCAGCCAGCGGACTCATGGGTCAGTGGTTAGAGGGGAGGGTCTATGGGCTGGGAGGCCAAGAGAAATCGCTGTTTGCTTTCCTGTATTTAAGTTGGCACATGGGAGGTAATGCTCTAGATAAGAGTTTCCTGGTACTCTTGAGACCACAATGCATGGGAAGTGAGTGGTGCCACATCCAGCACTGGCAGGAGAGGCTCCTGAGCCCCCATTTCTCCACACTTTGAGCATCTCCCTTGGCAGATGCCCAGACAGACCTCTCTGACCCACAATCCCAGTGGCCAACTGTCAAGGGCAAAAGCAAGGAGCCTACCCCACCCTCCTGCTTACCTTGTTCCAGGGCTGACAACGCATCAATGGCACCTGGTTGTAGTTTTGAACAAAGTCACACAAGATGTCCAGTTTGTCCTGAAAAGCAGATGTGGCTGTGAGGAAGCTGTAGGCATGGATGCTGCCTCCAGAAGGTCTAATTCCCTCTGGCTCTATGGCTCGTGAGCACTCTGTTATCAGAAACTTCCCGGGACATCAGTGCAGCCTAGACCTGGGGCAGGGGCCAGGCAGCTCCTGTGTGTTGGGGGAGGGGGATGGTGGTCACTGAGAGCAGGCCTGTGAGCTGGTAGTACAAGGTCCTGGCAAGCGGCCACAGCCCTGCCTGAAGTATGTGTGACTTCTCCGTGCCCTCCTCCTACTGTCAGGGGGTGAGGCAGGGTTGGCCCTGCAGGTGACATCTGAATCTCAGGGAAGAAGCAATAGATCTGACAGGAACAGGGCAGAACTGTGGAGAGAAGAGCAGAGCCCGGCAGACACTGTGGGGGTCTCTCTTCCTCTGACCAGTCAACGGGGCCTTGCCCTCTCCATCCCTGTCACCTCGTGCCCCTGCCAGGCTGCCTTCTCCTCCCAGGGTGACCACAGCACTTCCTGGGAGAAGGACATTTCACTCAGGCCCTTCCTCTGTGGGGCCCTTAGCACCCCAACTCAGAGGATCACCAGGACCATGCAGTGAGCTCTGTCCACACTCTGCTGAGGGGTCTTCTGCAAGAACAGTTGGAGCCATTGGCATTTATGGGTGGTTCAATGGTGGTAGGCACTTAGCTGAGAGATTTCGCCCTGCCTGTGCTAGTTTGTTTATAATTCACTTTGATTTTACACATCCATCTGCTGGCCAATGAAGCCCTAGTCATTGGTGTAATTGATGACAACCTCCGTGAGAACCAAGGCGGTCCGGCTGCAAGCCAGAAACAGAAATCCCTAATCCCAAGGGGAGACCTGGGGTGGTACCCAAGTGATGAAAGTCCAGTGCCCATACATTTCATCTCACACAAGCCATGCCTTTGGCATCCAGGACTGTGTGGCATGAACCTGAAGCCCCTCTCCTCCCACACCTTAGCCTTAGGTCTCATCTCCCACCCTGAGGAGACCTCTCACCTCCATTCTTTGCATGCTGTCTTCTTGGCACCCACAACAAGGGACAATCACTGTGGGACATGTCTGTATGGGACGTGTCTTCGGCTCCTAGAAAGAGAAAACACTGTCTGCTTCCTGGTCTGGCAGCTCCTGGGTGCAGACACAGGCCTCATGTAGCCCTGCACCTGTCAGCTTTCGGCCACTCCGAAAACCTTTGTGGGAGAAATCCCGCACCAATGAGTAGCACCTGCCCCATCACAGAGGGCCCTCCAGGGAAGACACGGGCAAAATTCTGTGGGTTTGCACACATGGCTCTTTCCAGAAAGACCAGGGGGTACTCTCCAGTTCCCTTGGTTTCCCTCAAACTACCCTTGGAAGACTGGTCCTGGGCTGTGTGCTGTGCTGGAGGGCTGTCAGGGTGAGAGCACTAGACAGTGACGGGCTGCATTACCTGACTCTGGCAGATCCAGCCTCCCATGTCACACTGCAGCCAGCTCAGGGGCCTCCCAGTGCTGTGAGGCCTGTCTCCCCCCGCCCTGCGCCCACCTCTCGCCTCCCCCACCATGATGCCAGGCCCCATGTTTCAAGGACACCATGCCCAGGTCCACCTACTTTATATGGGCACTGGTTTAAGCCACCTCAACCTGCTCACCTGCCCCGAGGTCCCTGTGCTCCCCTGGGCCTGGCGTCCCTCACAGCTCAGTGCCAGGTCAGACTCCCTGCACCCTCCTCAGCCCCACAGTCCTCACAGGCCACCACCAGCCACGCCCCTGCCCTGGGAGGACACAGGGAGGGGGCTGAGAAAATGGAGCCAGGGTACAACCAGAGCCCGCAGGGGGGTCCAGAGCCCGCAGGCGGCTCCAGGTCCCTGACCTGAGGCTCCTTTTCCAAAAGCTCACCTGGTCCTGAGGAAGGACCCACTGCAAACAGTCCTTTGGGAATTGACAAGAAAAGCCCCCTTTATGTCACTGGGATCCTATCAGTGGCTGCAATAGGCTCCCCTAGGCCACCACTGCAGTGACAAAGGCCCTGTATCAGGCCGTGTGCCTGATTGTCAAGATTGTCTGGGTGACATTCTGTGAGTTCCAAGTCCTCCTTGGGCCCCTCCCTCCCCGCTGACACCCTCTTGTTCCTCCTGGCTCTCTGCGCAGGTGGGTGGAGCTGGTGGGTTGGGGAGTGGAAGTAGCCCCTAGGCTGCAGGAGGCCTCTGTCAAGGTCACTGTGCCCACCAGGCCTGCTGACAACATCAGGACCAACCAGGACTTACCTTTCCTGGTTTCTGCACTGGGGGTGGCTCCTTGACGGTCTAGATTGAAGGTTAAAGAGACATAAGCAGAGCTGGGAGGGGCACGGAGGATGCTGTTGGCCATGCTGATGGGGGATCCTGCTCTGCAGCAGCAGGACAGAACATGGGGTTTGGCGTGCCAATCTGGGTGCCCATTCCTCCCTGAGCCTCCTCTCTGAGCCTCAGGCTGCTCAGGTAGCAAAGGGAATTGAAAGCTCCCTGTGGGTTTGACGGGGAGACAGCCAGACTAAGGAGCCTGGTCCCTGGGAGAGGCCCCTACACAGTAGTTTTCCTCAGCTGCTCACTATCATATGACAGCTCATGGCCTAAATCCTTCCTGTCTCCACCACATCCCCTCCTCCCACCCCCCACACCCCCCGCAGCCTGCTCTGGCTTTCCAGTCCTCAGGGATGACAGTCACCTGCACCCAGGACTTCCTCTCTCTCTCATCCTCCCTCCTTTACCTGATTTGACCTGCTTGTTCTGGTTGGTTTGCCTGCTCTTTCGCGCCTCTGCTTTTCTCTTTCTCTATCCAACGCTCTGGCCTGTGTCCTTGCAGACTCAGCTAGCCAGTACTGCTGCCTCAATCCCTCCCTGAAGCCGGCCTCTGTCCTTTGCTGTTGCTCTGGTTACAAAGGGCACTTGCCACAAACTGTGAGGCTGACATTTTGTCCCCAATGCCCCAAGTACCATTATGAGACCAGATACCAGACTGTGAGCTCCTGCAAGGACGTTGGCACCTTCCTATGTGTCCCCTTGTGCCCAGCAGGGGCCCAGCACAACCTGGCCCTTAGTAATGGCTGAAGAAGGCATGCCGGGAGGCCCTGGAGATGTGCAGAGACCCAGGCTAGTTTTCAAAGGCACAGCTGCCCCAGGAGTTTCGAATCTGGCCAGCATCATTCTCCCTTTGGGGCTACCCGTGCCTCCAGTGGGACCACTTCTTTCCTCGCCAGCACAGGTGTCCTCCACTGTGTCCCCTGAGTCCTTCTGAATCCTGGCTGCTGTGAGGCTGCCCTGTTCTCGGCTGTCTGAGTTCACTTCTGCCCATGGGCCAGGGCAGCACATAGGCTTGCTCCCTGAAGGAAGCACATGGCAGGAGGCTCCTTAGAAGCCCAGGCTATGCCGGGAGAGGAGGACAGAGTACCCCTGTCTGCTCATGTGGCCATATGGAGCCTATGGGAACCTGCCCACAGGTGGGATCAGGCAGACAGGCACGCTATTCCCCTGGGGTTGGTCACAGGGCTGCGTGGGCAGGAGTCACTCACCTTCTTGAAGCGTAGTGGCCAGATGCAACAGAAGAGCAAGGGGAACATGAGCATGGCCGGGATGAGCAGAACCAAGTACAGATGGGTGTTGATGGGCTTGATCGGTGGAGGAGGCGGTGGGCTAGACTGCAGGGCAGATGGTTGGACAGGTGGTGAGGTTCAAGTCCTGTGTGTTGATGGGATAGGTGGCTTGGCAAGTGTTGGTGTTGGAGGCCTGCGTGTTGGTGGGATGTGTAGATTGTCAGGTGGTGGGGTTGAAGATCTGTGGGCTGTCAGGGAAGGTGGCTTGGTAGTTGGTGGGCTTGGAGGTCTGAGGGTTTTAGGGACAGGTATCTTGGTAGGCGTTGGGGTTGGAAGTATGTGTGTTGTAGGGGCAGGTGGCTTGGTAGGTGGTGGGTTTGGAGGTCTGAGGGCTTTTGGGACTAGTGGCTTGGTAGGTGATGGGGTTGGAAGTATGTGTGTTATAGGGGCAGGTGGCTTGGTAGGTGGTGGGGTTGGAGGCCTGTGTGTTGTAGGGGCAGGTGGCTTGGTAGGTGGTGGGGTTGGAAGTCTGAGTGTTGTAGGGGCAGGTGGCTTGGTAGCTGGTGGGGTTGGAGGCCTCTGGATTTTTGGGACATGTAGTGTGGTTGGTGGTGGTGTCAGAGGCCTGTGTGTTGTAGGGACAGGTGGCTTGGCATATGTTAGGATTGGAGGCCTGTGTATTGCAGGGGCAGGTGGCTTGGTATGTGGTGAGGTTGGAGACCTGCTGGTTTTCGGCACTGGTGGTTTGGTGGATGGGAGGGTTGAAGGCCTGCGGTTTTTCAGGGCAGGTAGCTTGGCAGGTCGTGGGGTGGTTGACCTGCTAGTTAGCCAAACTGGTGGCTTGGTAAGTCTTCGAGTATCTGGAGAGACCATTGATTTATTGTGCTGTGGAAAGCACACAAGGGGTGGCTTATTGTGGGCCTTGGTAGCCTCCACTCAGCATCAGCCAGCACCAGGCATCCCCCAACTACTGCCTTGTCCAACTATTTCCTTCTTCTGAGGTTGCCTCATCTGCAGTGGCCTATGGGCTGTGCTGGGCCTGTAACTACAGATGGGCTAGGAGGTCAGGGCTGGGACAGGAGCCCTGTGAGCCCTTGGCTACCGACCCCACCACTAGATCTGATCAGACACTCTGCCCAGCCCTTAACAGGTAGTCTGAGTCCTCTGTGGGTGACAAAGCAGCCCTCACTGCAGGACTCGGCTGACACTACAGGGTTGTTGTGAGAACCATATAATCTAGATACTCAGTGGGGGAGGGAAGGCATGGGGCCACTGAGAGGGAGGGGTGCGGATGCAGCAGCAGGAGACCTGCTCCATCTGCCTGCTGCCTCTCTCTCCAGTCATCTGAGAAATGACAGCATGTGTTTCCCAAGCAGAAGCCAGGGCTGTGATGGTCATGAGTCAGTTCAGAGCCCTTCACCAGCTGCATCAATGCAGTGGGAACACACTGTATAGGGCTACCGCTGGTCCCACTGTCCACATCCTGTTTCTGGACCTGTCTTTGAAGGGCCTGGGTGTCCCAGAGGTCCTGGACTCTGCCTGTCCTACTCACTTCAGCTGGAACCCAGATAGACCTTGACCTTCCTACCACTAGACCTGAGCCAGAGCAGGTGGCAAGGTGGGAAAAGCCTCAGAACAGTTTCTGGAGTTTGCTTGGAGCTCTAATTTTTCCCTCCATGTGCATCAGTGACACTTGCTCACAGAGAAAGCAGATGTTCTGCAGGGCCTGGACATATGGCTGTACCCAGGGTAATTCCCAAGCTTGAGTTGGGTGTCAGCTCCCTTCCCCCACAGTGGAGGTTGAAAGGCCCTGGGTGATCTGTGAGATGCTCTCCTGTCTGATCAAGCTCCTGGAACTGCCTGGGGTCATTGTTCCCCTCTCTTGCCTCTAAAGGGTATCTGTCCCTCCATTGCAGGAGCTTTGCACAACCACAACCTGACACTCACACATTCCCTACTGGTCATTTTCAAAGTTTGGTCCTGGAATTTGACACCATTGTTGAGGCTGTAATCGACGACGACCACCCTAAAGAACAGAGAGGGCAGATGGTAACCAATAGCCCGGATAGACACAGTTCTGGCACTCAGCAACACCCGTAGCCCACAGCTCTCCTCATTGTAATGACTTTCAATATCAGGTGTTGGGGCCACCTGAGAATTGACAACATGGGTAAGGAGAGCTCATCCTCATGCACTACAGTCACCTCTGCAAATAAGACTGAGAAGACAGTGAGGAGCCCTGCATAGGAGTGGGTGCCTCCATGGCCTAGGGCTGAGTGATGAGAAATGGCTGCTTGGTGTCACCATACCTACAATATGTCTTCTGTGTTTATACAATATGTTGGCTTAGCTACAAAAGGCTGCTGAAAGCAAAATTACCATCACCAAGGCACATTGTTTTCCCCATTCATCCTGCCCCCTTCATCACTGCACCTCATCTTCCCCATCCTGCCCTCCTTATTACTGCACTGAACTTTCCCATTCTGCCCTCTTCATCAGATTCCTGAGCACCTTGGGGTGACCACCAACAGGAGTTGTCATGGAAGGTGCCCTGAGCCTTCTTGGAGACAGACATGTGCTACCTCAGCAGAGCTGGCATCCCATTTTCTAGACACTTGATGGGGTCCCGAATTGCCCACCTGGCTCCCATCTTGAAAAACTTACTGTCTGTCCTTCTCAAATATGTGTCCTTGGCATAGTAGTTTCACTTTTGTTATATTGATGGCTTTTAGTGCTAAAAGAAAATCATTAAGAATAATGTCAATGGACATATCTACCCATATGTCTCCCCTTCCACCCATCCTTGGCAAGCAGAACTGACACTTTGGTAGATGCTAACATCTCTTCCCTGCCTTCTTCTGAGCACCCGCCATGCTCGTCTAAGCACTGTGTACTGCTCTGGTGTTTAATGGAAAAAAGGCAGGCAGAGTCGGTTCTCAAGGTCATTATAGAGCTTGAAGAAGGAGACCAAGAATGAAATAACAATGAATGAAATACATGCCAGAGTGTGAACAGTATTATGACCTCAAAGAAAATGGAAGGGGTAGGGAATGGAGAGGGATAGCTGCTGAGGAATGGGGGGCCTGTTATATATTTAGGATACAATTTCTCTTTAGACAAACTGATATATTTATACATAAAATATTTGATATTTGTGATTTTCTTCAAAATAACAAATGGTGATATCAACAAAATCATGTTCATTGGGTTTTATAGTTATTGATAGTAGAGTGATGGCTGTTTCAAGTTCATCATTCAATTTGTGCTACTTTTGTATTGTTGAAAATTATTATTAATAATAAGGCCTGGAGATTAAAAATGGCGGTAGAGGAAGTGAATGCTACACATACACACTCCCAGGACTAAACTGAAATTACAACAAAAATACAAAACAAACAAACAAACAAAAACATCCTGAATAATCAACTGAAGATTAGTTGGAGAGAACCTTGATAACCAAGGATGGAAAGTAGAAACGGTATAGAGACTGGTAGGAAGGGCAAAGGTGGGAAAGGGCTGGCCGAGCTCCTACAGACAGAAGCTGAAGTTCTGGAGAGATATCTCAGCTGTTGGGGGAGGGGGTGCCACTAAGAACTCTGGTTCTAAACCCCAAGCTGGACCCCCACTAGAGATTACCAGAAAGGCGCCCACAAAACATCTAGCTTTGAAAAGAGGCAGAGTTTCTCTCTGCCAAGGAGAGACAGCTGGAAATGCAGGCACCCTCTTAAAGGGCCAACACACAAAATTCCACATGCAGCCACTCATTTTGGGCTCTGGCAGAGGAAGGGCAGAGTGGACTGCAAATGTGTGAGCAGAAGCCAGGGTTGGGGGCTGTGGGGTTAGAGCTCAGAAGGCAGACAGCATGGTTTCAAGTGTTGAGTCATTCCCTCACATTGCAGAAGACACCGTTCTCAGGCAGACCTTTACTATTCAAGTGTTTTTTTCCTGGGGAAAAGACAGTTTCCCCACCCAGTTGAAAAACTCCTTGCCCTACCCTGAGAATTTTCCAAAGCCCATTAAGAGACTTAAAATAACAGTTAGCCTCCAAGCAGAAGCAATTGCCCACCTGTTATAAAACTCCTTGCCACACTTATGGAAAATTTCCTGATGCTACTCAAGACTGAATCCAATCAGTCTATAGGCAGAGGCAGGTCTCTGGAAGATTTGAGTCTTTGCCTGATCTAATGAGTCAGAAACAGTGTTTGACACTGTCTTGCACTAGAGATTGGGAGGCATAGCATATATACCTAATATATAGTCATAAATTCAAATAGGCAGCCATAATGGGGAGACAAAAACAACCCCCAAATGAAAGAACAAGAGAATTCTCCAGAAGAAGAGCCAAATAAAATGGAGATAAAAAGTTATCAGACATAGAGTTTAGAATAATGATGGCAAAGATGCTCAACAGCTTGAGAAAAGATATACCAGGTAGCAATCATGAAAAATGATATAGCACTAATAAAAAACACTGTGGACACCCTAGCTGGTTTGGCTCAGTGGATAGAGTGTTGGGCTGTGGACTGAAGGGTCCCAGGTTCAATTCTGGTCAAGGGCACATGCCTGCATTGTGGTCTCAATCCCTAGTGGGGGACATGCAGGAGGCAGTAAATCAATGATTCTCTCTCATCATTGATGTTTTTATCTCTTTCTCCCTCTTCTTTCCTCTCTGAAATCAATAAAAAAAATATTTTAAAAATACACCATGGGATCTCCTCTCCCTCTCCTCCCTCTCTCTCCCCACAAAAAAAAAATACACCATGGAAGGAATACATAGCAGATTAGGGGAAGCCAAGGATCAGATCAGCGAATTAGAAAATAGGATACAAAAATCGTACAATCAGAGAACCAAAAAGAAAAAAACAATAAAAAAATGGGAGGACAACTTCAGGGAGTTGTAGAACAATATAAAACATAAAAATGTCTGCATAAAAGCTGTGCCAGAAGGAGAATATAGTCAGGAAGGGATAGAGAACGTGTTTAAATAAATAGTGGCAGAAAACATCCCTAATTTGGTCAAGGAAAAAGTCATACAAGTACAGGAAGCACAGAGAGTCCCAAGCAAGAAGAACCCAAACAGACCCATGCACAGACACACCTAATTAAAATGTCAAAAATTAAAGACAAAGAGGGTAAAGTCAGCAAAAGAAATTTGTTACCTACAAAGGAGCTCCCAAAACAATGTGAGCTGATTTCTTAACAAAAACTCTATAGGTCAGAAGGGAATGGTATGAAGTATTCAATGAAATGAAAAGAAAGGATCTGAAACCAAGATTACTGTATCCAAAGGCTATCATTCAAAAGTAGATGGTGAAATAAAGAGCTTCCCAGACAAAAAAAGGCTAAAGGAGTTAGTCACCACTAAAGCAGCACTGCAAGAAATTCTAAAGGACTGCTGTACTGAGAAGAAGAAATAGAGAGAGAGTGAAACATAGACATACAGAATTAAAATGGCAATAAATAAATACATGTCAATAATAAACTTAAATATAAATGGATTAAAAGCTCCAAACAAAATACATAGGGTAGCTGAATGGACATGAAAACATGACCCAAATATATGCTGTGTACAACAGACCCATCTCAGAACAACAGATTCACAGAGGATGTGAATGAAATGGATTGAATGAAATGAAATGAATTTTTCTATGCAAATGTAAATGAAAAAAAAGCTGGAGTAGCAATACTCATATCTGACAAAATAGACTCCAAAATGAAGGCCATCACAAGAGACAACAAAGGTATCTACATAATACTAAAAGGATCAATCCAACAAGATGATAAAACCCTGTAAACATATATGCACCTAATGAAGGAGTGCCTAAATATATAAAAATACTTCTAGAGGACTTTCACGGAGAGGTCAACAACAATACAGTGATAGTAGGGAACTTTAACACCCCGCTGACTTCATTGGATAGATCTTCCAGAAAAAAAAAACTTAATAAGGAAACAGAGACTCTAAAGAACACACTGGATCAGGTGAATTTAGTTGACTTTTATAGAACATTTCACCCAAAGCTGCAAAATATACATTCTTCTCAGTGCACATGGGTCATTCACAAAGATAGACCACATGTTAGGACACAAAACAAGTCTCTACAAATTCAACAAGATTGAAATCATATCAAACTTTTTCTCAGATCATAATGGAATGAAATTAGAAATCAACTACAGTAAAAACACTCAAAAACATTCAAACATACAGAGGCTAAATAGCATGTTATAAACATTGAAAGGGTTACCAATGAGCTAAAGAAAGAAATAAAAACTTCCTGGAAACAAATGGAAATGAACACAAACAACCAAAAATCTCTGGGACACAGCAAAAGCAGTCCTGAGAGGGAAGTTCATAGCACTACAAGCCTACCTCAAAAACAAGAAAAATTAATAATAAACAATTTAACCCTACAACTTAAAGAATTATAAAGAGAATAACAAGAAAAGCCCAGAGTGAGTAGAAGGAAGGGAATAATAAAGATTAGAGCAAAAATGAATGACATAGAGACTAAAAAGCAATACAAAAAACAAAAAACAAAACCCAATGCAGACAAGAGCTGGTCCTTTGAAAGGATAAACAAGATTGATGAACCAGTAACCAGAGTCATCAAGAAACAGAGATGACCAAAATAAATAAAATCAGAAACTAAAGAGGTGAACTAACAACTGACACTACAGAAGTATAAAAATGGTAAGAAAATACTATGAACAACTCTATGCCAACAAGTTGGAAAATGTGGGTGAAAAGGAAAAATTCTTAGAAAAATACGACCTCCCAAAACTAATTCAGGAAGAATCAGAAAACCTGAATAGGCCAATAGCAGCTGAGCAAATAGGTCCAGTAATAACAATAATAAAAAAATCCCAGCAAACAAAAGCCCTGATTCATAGGGGAGATTTACCAAACATTCAAAGAAGAACTATGACCTATACTCCTTAAACTATTCCAAAAAATCAAAGAGGAAGGAACACTTACAAGCTCTCTTTAAGAGGTCACCATTATCCTAATTCCAAAACCAGATAAAGACAATACAAAGAAAGAGAATTACAGGCCAATATCCCTGATGAACATAGATGCTGAAATCCTCAACAAAATGGTAGCAAATCAGATCCAGCAATGTATTAAAAATATCATACACCATGACCAAGTG